GAAAGCACCTGCCATGTCCCCCCTCTCCAGCCGAGACCCGCCCCTTCAGACGCCTCCACGTGCTTGGCAATGGGCGTCTGACGTTGTCCCTTGTCTCATCCTTCTTCACTGTCTCTGAGAGGGAGAAACAGGTCCACACGGACAGGCCGGTGCGTCTTTACTTCGAAACATCCTGGGGGCTCTTGGGGTCCTGCAGCTGATCCTCGGAGCTGGGCTGTACCTGCGGTGCTCACGTGGGGAGAGGAAGAGCTTGGAGACTGGGAGAGGCAGGTGCACGTCTCCTCCCCCCCCCATACACACACCTCCCTCCCTCACTGACCCTCAGCTCCCTCCCCTGCATTTTGCTGCTCAGGGAATGTCCCCCAGGAGGCTGGTGGGTGTGGGCATCACCGTGGGGTCATGGTGGGGGGAGGGCAAGGTTCCCAAGGCTCAGATTCAGCTCCTTGTGTGTGGGGCTCAGGTGCAGGGTCGCAGGAGAAGCCCAGGGACCATGAGTGTGGCATCCACGAAGCCATGCAGGTGTCCCGGGACGGCAGGGACAAGGTGAGGCTGGGTCACCCCCGTCCCTGTGAGCCTGGGTGTGAGTTGGTGAAACCCACTCATCTATACTTTCTGGCCTCGCGTTTGTATCCCTTCCAGACATGTAGTATTAACACGGGGTCCATGCAGTGCTGGGCGCTGTGGGGGAGGTCATGTGAGCAGCATGACATCTGTGGGGTCCCTCTGGGATCTCTCTGTCCCTCAGCTGTGGCAGGAACCCTCTGTCCACATTCCAGGGATCGGAGGAGCCACATCGAGAAGAGGAGAGGCCTCTCCATACTGTCTACACTGAGGTCTGGACGCCAGGCCAGGCCAGGTTGGAGATTTAATTGGAAGAAGCAGGGAATCCAGCCTCTGGCGACACCTCAGTTGTGAGTGTGGAAGCTGCACCCTGGTCCCGACCCTCCCCCCGTGACAGCTCTGAGCTTGGACGGATTGAGCCGACATCGGTCAATCTCTATGCAAATTCCTTGTGCACAATTTCACCAGAAGACACACGTCATGGTAGATCGAGGGGGGTAACTGGGTATGCAAATCTATCCAAACCTGTGTCCAGTCCAGCTCAGCATCTGCTCCTTGGCCTCCCTGCACGGACCCCAGGCCCCCCCATGGACCACATGATTCTGCCTGTCAGAGCCCTCAGCCTCTGGGACACAGTCATTACGAATTCACACCGTCCAGCCTCCACCAGGTCACCACCTCCCACAGTTAGTATGTGCTCGAGAGCTATTCACATAGTACTGGGACCCGCAGGGCTTGCTGAGCTGCGGCTCCGGGACAGGGACGGACCTCGTCGTTCTCTCGTCCCTCACGCCCCGCGTCCTCATAGACGCTCGTGAGCTGGGACCCTTGTGCCCACTCTACGGACGAGACGCAGGAGACCAGAAAGGCAGCGCTCAAGGCCGCCCGAGCAGCTCCCCAGCCGGGGTGCAGCCCCAGGGCCCGTGTTCCAGGCCCCCGTCTGCTCTCCCGGGCCTGGGACCCCCTCCCTTCTTCCCGGCGTGCTGCCTCCTGGCCCAGCCTCCTGTTTCTCAGGGAAAGAGCAGAAGCTGGTAACTGACAGTGTCTCATTCTACCAGTGAACTTTTAACTGGCCGCTCGCTGGCCTCTGCGTCCGTCTCTCCTGTCCCCGTGGGGGACGCTGCACTCCTCGGGTCTCAGTAGGACCTTTCCCTCCACGCCAAGGCCCCTTCTCTGGGGACCTGCAGGCTGTGGCCTCCCCGCCTCTGCTCCTCCCGAGGACCCTGCCGGCTCCTTCCCTGCAGCCGGCACCCGCTCTCGTGCTCCCCCTTCGACCACCTGATCCCGCACCTGGGCCCCACCTCACGGGGACCCCTAGAGCCCCAGGAGGTGACCCGCACGCGATAGCTGCCACCTCCACCCACAGCTGGTGCCGGGTCTCAGGAGATGGGCCACGCCCTGGACTCCTTGCTCCCTGCTCAGGGCCCCGGGCCCGGTGCCCCCGAGGCCTCAGGCCTGGTCCCAGCGCCTCAGCTGCCATCAGTTTCTGTTGTTGTCACACTTGCAAGAGGAAAGACGGAGACGCTGAAGACTTAGTTTCTACCACTTACTCAGGAGGAAACCGGACGAAGCCCTGGGTCGGCACATGTGGTTTCGGCTCTCCTTCCCGCCTGTTGGGGGTGGGGGGACGTCTCCCTCTCCTCACCCCTGCCCTGTGTCCTCTCCCCTCTCCCCAACCCTCCCAGCCCAGCTTCCCTTCTTGGAATCCAGGCCCAGGCGAGAAAGAGCAGGAGCTCAGCTCCCGCGGGAGGGAAAGAGAAGCAATTATTCCCTGTGTCATCAGGCCACGAAGCTGCACGTTCCGTTCGGGGGAGAGGCTGGAGCATTTCCCTGAGCCTAAGCTCACCTCCTGGATGCACAAACCCTCTGTGCTCCGTCTCTCCCACCTTCACCCCCATGGGACTGGAGTCACCCACTACTTGCCGGAACTCGTAATCCAAGCAGGACAGAAGTGGGTCCCCAGGGTCCCTGCCTGTCCATCTCCCCAGCTCCCTACCAGGAGCAGCTCGATGCCCCACGTTCAGAGGAAAGCAGGAAGCCTCAACTTCTGCAAAGGAGCACACACACCAGCCTCCAGCCTCTGCTGTGTGCATGAGAACTGAGGCTCCCAGAAATATCCAGATTGCCATTGAGAGGAGGATTCTAAGTGTCTGACAACAGGACCAGCATCTGGCGAGGGGCAGAGCAGTGCTGTATTGACCTGTGCAGTAAATGCTCTGAAACAAGCCCCTTGTGCTCCAGGGTCCTATAACCTCACCCCTGCGGGTTGGCAGGGAGCAGGGTACGCTGACTTGCATGAGCCACAGCAGCTGATGGAGGGGTGAGTAACCTCACTGCCCACAACCAGTGAGAGAGCAGCCCCAACTTGAAGTCTGAAATGATTCCTATTTTTAGTGTAGACCAGTCAGGGGCGTGAGGTCTGGAGGTGAGTACACAAGACCACAGTGCCACCCCCGGGCCTCACAGGACTCCTTGGCACTGGGGACCCGCCCTGCCCTTAACTCACTTTGTTCAGCCCGGCTGGATGACCTGCCTTCCCTGCAGACCGGCTCAGAGCCTCCCTGCCCTGCCCACGGCCTGGACGACAAGCTGTTACCTGTGTGTTAGATCCTACTGTTACAGTGACAGGTCACTTCCCGTCCTGGTGGCCTCTGCCTTGCAATCTTGGCAAACTCACTTACTAGTCCGCGGAATTTTCTGTAGATTCCTGGGAATTTCTATGTAGACAAACATATAAATAATGTATATACAAAGACTGATGTTCTTCTTCCCTTTCCAATCTACATCTCATTTTATTTATTTTTCGTGTCTTATCACATGTGGTCAGACTCCCTCGAGATGCTGCACAGGAGTGGTGAGCACAGCATTGCTGGCTCTTCCCGACATTAAGGGGAAAGTGATCCGTTTTCCTCCATTAACAGTTCTATTAGCTCTTGGGTTTTTGTAAATATGTTTTATTATATTTGTCAGTTTCATTTTCTCTACTTCTCTTTTTCTTATTTCCTTTCTTCCACTTGCTCTTATTTTTATAGACTCATAAGATAAATGCTTAAATTATCAACTTGGAGCACTTCCTCTTTTGTAAAATATGCCTTTAGTCACATGCCTTTAGCTTCTTCTTCTTTTTTTTTTAATGTTTTATTTATTTCTAGGAGAGAGAGAGGGAGACAGCCTGAGCAGGGGAGGGTCAGAGAGAGAGGGAGTCACAGACTCTGAAACAGGCTCCAGGCTCTGGGCTGGCAGTCAGCCCAGAGCCCGACGCGGGGCCCGAACCCACGAACCGCGAGATCATGACCTAAGCGAAAGTCGGACGCTTAACCGACTAAGCCACCCAGGCGCCCCGCCTTTAGCTTCTTTTGACACATTTTCATATCTTATATTTTCATTTCCATTCACTTCACATGTTTAAGTATTTCCCTTCAGACCCCCTCTTCCTCATGTGGGTTATGAAGAGTCGTTTTGTTTCATGGCTAAGTGTTTGGAAATGTCCTGTCATCTTTCTGTTACTAAATTCTACTCTAGTCCTACTACAGTCAGAGGAAGTCTATTACTTGAGTGCGTGAAAAGCCGTTGGCGTCTGTGTGGTGGCCCAGGACAGGACGGAGTCTGCTGGTAGGGCTGAGCGGTCTCCAAGCATCAGCTAGGTCAAGGTCAAGTTTACTGCTCCGTCGTCTTCTGATTTCCCAGCCACTTGCCGCACTGCGGGACAGGGGTGCTTGGCTCTGATGGTGGCGGTGTAGCCTCTGTCCCCCCGAGTTCTGTCCATCTCCACCGCATGTCTGCTGCCCTGTTGTCAGGTGGGGGCATGTTCAGGGTTCTTCTCACTTCCTGCTGCATTGACCTTTCATTATCGTCTGCCGTTCTTCTGTATCCCTGGTAACTTCCCAGGCTCTGAGGTCTACTTCTTCTGATATCATTTAGCCCTTCTACCATTCTTTGGATTAGTGTTTGTCTGATCTGGTGGCTCATTTTATTTGTCACCTATCTGGGCCCCAGTGCCAAGATACAGAAGTGGCCCATCAGCCCTGCCTACACTGAGGTCCACATGCCAGGCCAGGGAAAGATGGAGATTTAATTGGAAGAAGCAGGGAATCCATTCTCTGGGGACACCTCTGATGTGAGTGTGAAGCCTGCAGCCCTGGTCCCGCCCCTCCCCCTCTGACTGCTCTGAGCAGGGATGGATTTAGCCAACATCGGTTATTTCAACACGAAGTGCCTGTGCACAAGTTCACCGGAGGACCCTGGTCGTGATAGATCAAGGGGGCCCTGAGTATTTAAATGGGTCCAAACCTGCATTCTGGCTCCGCTCATCCTCAGTTCCTTGGCTTCCCTACACAGACCCCAGGCTCCCCACATGGATGACATCAGTCTGTCAGAAATGTCAGCCTCTGGGACAAAGTCATTATGAAGTCACAACATCCAGTCTCATCCAGTTAAATTCTCCCAGTTGTCAGGATGTGCGTTCTCTCTCTGTCTCTGTCTCAAAACTTAATAAATAACACTTAAAAATAAAAAAGATGATGGGGCGCCTGGGTGGCTTAGTCGGTTAAGCGTCCGACTTTCGCTTAGGTCATGATCTCATGGTTCGTGGGTTCAAGCCCCGCGTCGGGCTCTGTGCTGACTGCCAGCTCAGAGCCTGGAGCCTATTTCAGAGTCTGTATCTCCCTCTCTCTCTGACCCTCCCCTACTCACGCTGTCTCTCTCTCTCTCTGCTAGAAATAATTAAAAATATTTA